GGTTGAGTTGGGTTGGGGGTTGGGTTGGTTTTGTTGGGTTGAAGTTGGGTTGAGTTGGGTTGGATTGGGTTGTTGGTTGGCGTTGGGTTGGGCTTGAGTTGGGTTGAGTTGGTTGGGTTGGTTGGGTTGGGTTAGAGTTGGGTTGGGTGAGTTTGGGTTGGTTGGGTTGGGTTTGGGTGAGTTGGGTTTGGGTTGAGTTGGTTGGGTTGGTTGGGTTGGTTGTTGGGTGAGTTGGGTTGCGGTTGGGTTGGGTTGAGTTGGTTGGGTTGGGTTGGTTGGGTTGGGTTGAGTTGGGTTGGGTTGAGTTGGGTTGGGTTGGTTGTTGGGTTGAGTTGGGTTGGGTTGGGTTGGGTTGGGAGATGGGTTGGATTGGGTTGGGTTGAGTTGGGTGGGTTGGTTGGGTTGGTGGGTTGAGTTGGGTTGGGTTGAGTTGGGTTGGGTTGGGTTGAGTTGGGTGGATTGGGTTGGGTGAGTTGGGTTGGGTTGAGTTGGGTTGGGTTGGGTTGGGTTTGAGTTGGGTTGGATTGGGTTGGGTGGTTGGGTTGGGTTGGTTTGAGTTGGGTTGGGTTGGGTTGGGTTGGTTGAGTTGGGTTGGGTTGAGTTGGGTTGGGTTGGGTTGAGTTGGGTTGGGTTGGGTTGAGTTTGGGTTGGGTTGGGTTGAGTTGGGTTGGGTTGGGTTGAGTTGGGTTGGTTGGGTTGAGTTGGGTTGGGTTGGGAGTTGGGTTGTGTTGGGCTTGGTTGGTTGGGTTGAGTTGGGTTGGGTTGGGTTGGGTTTGAGTTGGGTGGGTTGGGTAGTAGGGTTTGAGGGTTGGTTGAGTTGGTTTTGGGTTGAGTTGGTTTGGGTTGGGTTGGTTGGTTGAGTTGGGTGGATTGGGGTTGGGGTTGGGTTGGGTTGGAGTTGGGTTGAGTTGGGTTGGATTGAGTTGGTTTGAGTTCGGTTGGGTTGGTTGGTTGAGTTGGGTTGTTGAGTTTGGGTTGGTGAGTTGGGTTGAGTTGGGTGGGTTGGGTTGGGTTGAGATGGTTGGGTTGCGTTGAGTTGGGTTGGGGGTTGCGGTTGGTTTGGGTTGAGATTGGGTTGGATGGGTTGGGTTGAGTTGGGTTGAGTTGGGTTGGGTTGGATTGGGTTGGGTTGGGTTGAGTTTGGGTTGGGTTTGGGTCTGAGTTGGGTTGGGTTGAGTTGGGGTTGGATTGGTTGTTGGTTGAGTTGGGTTTGAGCTTGGGTTGAGTTGGGTTGAGTTGGCGTTGGGTAGTGAAGTTGGGGTTGAGTTGGGTTGAGTTGGTGGGTTTGGGTTGGGTTTGGGTTGGGTTAAGTTGGGTTGGGTTGAGTTGGCGTTGTTTGAGGTTGGGTTGGGTTGAGTTGGGTTGGGTTGGTTGAGTTGGGTTGGGTGAGTTGGGTTGGGTTGGGTTGGGTTGAGTTGGGTTGGGGTTGGGTTGAGTTGGTTGAGTTGGTTGGGTTGAGTTGGGTTTGGATTGGGTTGAGTTGAGTTGGGTTTGGGTTGGGTGGTTGAGTTTGGGTTGGGATTGGGTTGGGTGGGTTGGGTTGGGTTGGGTTGGGTTGAGTTGGGTTGGGTTGAGTTGGGTTGAGTTCGTTGGGTTGGTTGAGTTGGGTTGAGTTGGGTTTGGTAGTTGGGTTGGTTGGGTTGAGTTGGGTTGGTTTGAGTTGGGTTGGGTTGAGTTGGGTTTGGGTTGAGTTGGGTTGAGTTGGCTTGGGTTGGGTTGAGTTGGGTTGGATTGGGTTGGGTTGAGTTGGGTTGGGTTGGGTTTGGGTTGGGGTTGAGTTGGGTTGGGTTGGGTTGAGTTGGTGTTGGGTTGGATTGGGTTGGTTGGTTGGGTTGAGTTGGGTTGGGTTGAGTTGGTTTGGGTTGGGTTGAGTTGGGTTGGTTGGGTTGGGTTGAGTTGGGTTGAGTTGGGTTGGGGGTTGGGTTGAGTTGGGTTGAGTTGGTTGGTTGGTTGGGTTGAGTTGGGTTGAGTTGGTTGGTTGAGTGGTTTGGATTGGGTTGGGTTGGGTTGGTTGGGGTTGGGTTGAGTTGGGTTGGTTGTTGGTTGAGTTGGGTTGGTTGGGTTGGGTTGAGTTGGGTTGAGTTGGGTTGGGTTGAGTGGTTGGTTGGGTTGGGTTGGTTGGGTTGGTTGGGTTGAGTTGGTTGGGTTGGATTGGGTTGAGTTGGGTTGGGTGAGTTGGGTTGGGTTGGGTTGGGTTGAGTTGGGTTGGATTGGGTTGGTTGGGGTTGAGTTGGTTGGGTTGGGTTGGTTTTGGAATTGGTTGGTTGTTGTTGGCGTTGGTTGTTGAATTGGTTGAGTTGGGTTGATTGGGTTGGTTGGGTTGGATTGGGTTAGTTGTTGGTTGGATTGGTTGGTTAAGTTGAGTTGGGTTGAGTTGGTTTGTGTTTTGAGTTGGTTAGTTGGCTTTGAGTTGAGGTTGGGTTGGGTTGAGTTGGATTGGGTTGGATTGGGTTGTTATTGCTTTGATTGTTGTTATTGCTGTTATCGTTATTAGGATTAT